AAATAAATAAATAAATAAATAAATAAATAAATAAATAAAATATCTTGTAGCTAGGCTTGTGATACTCTTTCAAATCCCTTTCTCTTTCTCTCAGACACAGTGTTTGGCAGAAGAAGATCAGAAAAGTGGTGTGTGTCCCAGCTCCCCAGTGCGAGCAGCACCAGACTCACCTACAACTCAAGGGCGCTCTCTGAGATACCGTCGTGTGAATAGCCCCGAGTCAGAGCGCCTATCCACTGCAGATGGGAAAGCAGATCAGCATGAAAGAAGGTTTGTCTGTTGTCCATGTGTGACCTTTATGGTTTCTTGTTTATGTAAGTAGAAGCAAGATCAAAGTAGTGGTAATAGGAACTTTGAAAATAACACAAAGCTTGATGATGACAAACAAGAAGTACCCATTTCTAAGAGCCATTATGAATCCCTTGGATTAAAAATGACAGCTTGTTTGTGTGTTCAGTGTTTGCCTTTAGGTAACGTTTTTTTTAGTAGAGTTGTTTCTCACATTTATAAGATTATTCTCCTGCTTTTTAATGAAAGTAGCTATTCCTCAGCAGTCATGTGACTTAAGGGGAGTAGCATTCTAGCCTGCCTTTGATCCATGTCCCTTTTGGTTCAGTTTTAGGGCTACTGCTTTTTGGGGCGTTGGTTTGTTTAGTTGTTAAGTCGTATCCGACTCTTTGTGACCCCATGGACCAGAGCATGCCAAGCCTTCCTATCTTCCACTGCTTCCCGGAGTTGGGTCAAATTCATGTTGGTAGCTTCGATGACACTGTCCAACCATCTCATCCTCTGTCGTTCCCTTCTCCTCTTGCCTTCACATTTTCTCAGCACCAGGGTCGTTTCCAGGGAGTCTTCTCTTCTCATGAGATGGCCAAAATACTGGAGCCTCAGATTCAGGAACTTTCCTTCCAGTGAGCACTCAGGGTTGATTTCCTTCAAAATGGATAGGTTTGTTCTCTTTGCAGTTCAGGGGATTCTCAAGAGTCTCCTCCAGCACCACAATTCAAAAGCATCAATTCTTTAGTGGTCAGCCTTCTTTATGGTCCAGCTCTCACTTCTTACATCACTACTAGAAAAACCATAGCTTTGACTATGCGGACCTTGTTGGCAAGGTGATGTCTCTGCTTTTTAAAATGCTGTCTAGGTTTGTCATCACTTTCCTCCCAAGAAGCATGTGTCTTTTAATTTCGTGGCTGCTGTCCTCATCTGCAGTGATCATGGAGCCCAAGAAAGTAAAATCTGTCACTGCCTCCATATCTTCCCCTTCTATTTTCCAGGAGGTGATGGGACCAGTGGCCATGATCTTAGGTTTTTTTATGTTGAGCTTCAGACCATTTTTTGTACTCTCCTCTCTCACCCTCATTATGATGTTCTTTAATTCCTCCTCACTTTCTGCCATCAGAGTGGTATTGTTTGCATATCTGAGGGTACTGATATTTCTTCCGGCAGTCTTAATTCCGGTTTGGGATTCATCCAGTCCAGCCTTTCAAATGATTTATTCTGCATATATATTAAATAAGCAGGGAGACAATATACAGCCTTGTCGTACTCCTTTCCCAATTTTGAACCAGTCAGTTGTTCCATGTCCAGTTCTGACTGTTGCTTCCTGTCCCATATATAGATTTCTCAGGAGATAAATAAGGTGGTCAGGTACTCCCATTTCTTTAAGAACTTGCCGTAGTTTGCTGTGGTCCACACAGTCAAAGGCTTTTGCATAGTCAGTGAAGCAGAAATAGCTGTTTTTGTGGAACTCTCTGGCTTTCTCCATAATCCAGCGTATGTTAGCAATTTGGTCTCTAGTTCCTCTGCCCCTTCGAAATCCAGCTTGTACTTCTGGGAGTTCTCGGTCCATATACTGTTGAAGCCAGCCTTTTGGGGATAAACAGGAGCAATTCCCCAACAAACAAAACATTCACTTTAAGGGAGATGAGTTTCAACAAAGTAATTCTTTCCAGTATGTTCAGACATGCACCTTTCTCAGTGTCTGATCACTCTCTCAGCCTCTAATGGACATTTTTTTCTTTTCAAGTAGTAATAGATTTGGGCAACATGGTTTATTTTTATCCAGTTTTTTTAGTAAAAGCATAATAGCTGTGGTTAAAGGTACCGTATTTGCCGTCATACAAGGCGACTGGCTGTATAAAACGACCCCCCAACATTTCCACTCAAAATACTATATAGAGTGGATGGCTTTGCTGCAGTGCCGGCGGGGAGGAGGGTGAGGAAGAGGCTGAATAGGCGGCGGCAGGAGGAGGGGGAGGAAGAGGGGAAGCGGGGGGGTGGTGGCAGGCGAGCGCGCGCGCTGGCTCAGCAGCGAGAGGGCGAGGAAGAGGGGAAGAGGCTGAGTGGGCGGCAGCAGGAGGAGGAGGAGGAGGAAAAGGGAAATGGGTGGGTGGTGGGCGAGCGAGCTGCTGGCTCAGCAGCACAGAGGGAAACGGGTGGGTGGCAGGCGAGCGAGTTGCTGGCTCAGCAGCACAGGGCTCTGGCCGCTCAGCCATGGCAGGCTGTGCTTCCCTCCATCCAGACCGACTGCCTGCCTGCCTGCCCGCCTGCCTTCCTTCCTCCCCTGCCAGCGCAGCCCCGTGTCACTCACTCAATGGCGGCGGCAGCTCCTTCCTGGCCCAAATGAAGTGCACCCGGCGTACAAGATGACCCCCCCACTTGGAGGCATGTTTTTTGGGCCCAAAAAGTCGTCTTGTATGCCAGCGAATACGGTAAGCTAATATAATAAGAGAATTTCACAAAGTCTCAAAATCCAGGAGAAAAAAAGGATCCCAGGAATCAGGAAGATAAATAACATTACTGTAGTGATCTTATAATAACAGAGGAGAGAATTTGTTTTATTTTTATTTGGGCTGGGATATTAATAGTTTTCATTAAGTTTTCATCTGGCATTTCATCTTTTTTTCTGCCTGGCACTCCTGTATGATAATCTTTGATGCACACTTTAATGTGGTGAGTGGGGTTGTGTGTGTCAGAGAAACAGAGAAGAATGCCATCTGGAGGCTAGACTCTCATTATGAGCCTGGACTCCTAACAGTGTTACCCAAGGCAGAATATTAACAGCTGAGACACGAGACTAAGATGTATCCATTCACTTCAGCAATAATGGTTGCATCAGGAGAAGAGAATAGTGGTGATGGGTAAGACGTCCTAGTGGTGATGGGTAAGAAGCGTCTGGGGGCAGTGACTGGACAGCAGTGATAACTGAAGGTGACAGGATCTTTTGCAGTCAATGGCAGTGATACTCAAACTAACTTTTTTTAGTATTGCACAGAAGAAGGCAATGGTAAACTTCTGAACCCTTCTTACTTGAAAGCGCAATGATGAGACAGTCCAAAATGAAACAGCAGATTGTGCTGGAAGATGACACTCAGTCAGCTACTGGTGAAGAGCAAAGGATTAGTAGAAGTAGCACTGTCACTAATGATGCAGCTAGATCAAAGCCGTAAGAACATCTAGTGGCTGACATGCACACAGGTGAAAGGAAAGTCCAATACTGCACAAGATACACAATTGTAACATGGAACATTTGAATATTTCAGTGAAGTATTTTGGTGAACTAAAATGGACTGGGCTGGGATGTGCAAGAACAAATAATTAGAGCAAACAAATACCACACTAAAAATTGTAAACAAAATCAACACCAGAAACAGATTAAAAGCAACAAGGTACAATACTCCAGTTAAAAAACCCTCTCAGGCAGCCAATCACTAAGGGAAAGCATGTCTGAAGAAAATGTCTTTGTTTTCAGAAGGACAGCAAAGATGGGACCAGCATGGCCTCCTAGACAGGCAGTTCCAGAGTCTAGGTGAAGTGACAGAGAAGGCTCTTTCCCATGTCCTCACCAAATGCACCTTTGAAGGTGGTTGGGCTGAGAGAAAGGCCTCCCCTGATTATCTTTTGTGGGTACTCAGAGACTGTGTAACTTGCCCGAGGCCACAAAGGCTGGATCTTCTCTGCGGAGACACAGTGCAGGAAATGGATTCCCAACCTTGTAATGTAGTCAGCAATAATCATTTTATTGCTTGATGGTATTGCCCCATAGCATACCATAAAAGGCATTCAAACGAGAAAATAAAGTTTTAGGTTACTAATGGACTTACTGTGATGAAAATCTTAAAATTAATAAGGACACACAAAAACTAAAACTAAAATGTGACAGAGATAGGTTCAGAATCCTAAATGCAACTTTTCAGTAACTTCTACTTAGAGACAAAGGGAACTGATATAACAATCATTGCAAAGCAAAAGAAAAGTGAAAAAAGGAAAATAAATAAATATTTTCTATAATCTTTTGAAGTTCCAACAAATCAAAGCAAGATTGGGGTGCTGAAATATCAACATGAAAATATATTCTCAGATCAAGATAAAATAGAAGATAGAAGCAGAATACTGAAAACTATATGGAAAATACCAGATTTTTTTGACAGGAATCTTCTGTTGAATTTTCTGCAGTTTTACAAATGCAGTGAAACCTACCCTCAAAGCAGCAACAAGAAATGAATTACCAAGGATAGATGAGATGCAAACAGAGATATTAAAAGCTACAAAGAGGAAATCTTTCAAAATCCAAACAAATATGGAAGGCAAAGAAATGGCCCTCAGATTGGAAATATTCAATATACATTTCAATCCCAATGACAGGAGATTCCAAGGATTACAGCAATTACAGTGGTGCCTCACACAACGATGTTAATTGGTTCCAAAAAAATCAACGTTGTGTGAAACATCGTTCTGTGAAACACCATTTCTCATAGGAATGCATTGAAAACCGGTTAATACGTTCCAATTGGAACGGATTGCCATCGCTGAGTGAAAATCCCCATAGGAAACATCGCTGTGTGAAACAATGTTTCCTTCATTGGAATGTATTGAAGCCGACTCAATACATTCCAATGGCTTTGCGAAGTCCCTTTTCGCACCTGTAAAAGTGTCTTACAATGTTTGGAAGCTGTTTTAAATGATTGCAATGGTTAGTCCACCTCCTGAAACCTCTGCAAACTGATTTTGGTGTTGTTCTGACACTTCGTTAATTTATGATGATTTTTTGTTTTTTCCATTGGAAACCATTAGACAGACCATCCAATGGTTTCCAATGGAGAAAATTCAAAAAATCATTTAAAACAGCTTCCAACCATTGTAAGACACTTTTACAGGAGCGAAAAGGGAGATCGGGAAGAACTTTAAAAGGCAAACGGAGATCCAAGAGCCCAAGAGATCGTTGTGTGAAAATCCCCCATAGGAAACATCGCTGTGTGAGGCAGCAAATTTGACAGAAAAAGGCATCGTTGTGTGAATTCATCGTTGTGTGAGGCACTCGTTGTGCGAGGCACCACTGTATATGACTGTCCAATTAATTTCCCCTTAAACAGTTTTTTTACAATATGTGGACCAAGAAATGACAGATGCTCAAGCTAGATTCAGAAAACAGAGGGGCCCTAGATATCATTTTACACAAATATTGTACATTAGCTATTGTAATTTACTATAGAATTTCAGAAGGAAATCCTTCTGTGCCTTATGGACTACAGTGAAGCCTCTGACTGTGTGGAACATGTGTACCTGGAGACTGTACTGGAATGGATGCAGTCGAATGGGTTGAGGCTGAACCCGGACAAGACGGAGGTCTTGAGAGTGGGTGGTCCTTCCGTCAGCGGTATAGGTAACTCCCTTTCTTTCGGGGGGTACGACCCTTGCCACAAAGAATGAGGTTCACAGCTTGGGGATACATCTGGACCCGGTGCTTACCATGGAAACCTAGGTGGCGTCCGTGGTCCGCTCCACCTATTTTCATCTATGGCGGATTGCCCAGCTGCGTCCATATCTTGATCGGGGGGCCCTCACTACTCTAGTACATGCACTCATAATCTCGAGATTAGACCATTGTAACGCACTCTACATGGGGCTGCCTTTGAGGCTGATGCGGAAATTTCAGAGGGTCCAGAATGTGGCAGCCAGGCTACTTAGTGGGGTGAGAAAACACCAACACATCTCCCCCACTCTGGCTGCTTTGCACTGGTCGCCCATCCGTTTCCGCGTCGACTTCAAAGTGCTAATGATCACTTATAAAGCCCTAAACGATTTGGGACCTCAATATTTGGCAGAACGTCTTCTCCCACCCAGATCTACCCGAATCACCCGCCATAGCCAACAGGGACGGCTGAGGGGCCTGACGCCAAGAGAGGCTCGGAAGGAAAAAACTAGAAACCGGGCCTTCTCGGCGGTGACCCCTCGGCTGTGGAACGCTCTCCCAACAGAAATTCGGCTGGCACCCTCGCTGGGTGTTTTTAAAAGACAATTAAAAACTTGGCTATTTAGGCAGGCTTTCCCTCCAGTCAGCTAAGTCTTTTTATTTCTTCTTTCCTATCCTACCCCATCTTGGTAATCCTTTTCTTAAATTAAGTGTCTTAATTAATATAGTAATTGTATTTTTAATGATTATATATATTTTATATTGATTTATTTTATGTTGTAAGCCGCCCCGAGTAGACATGGTCTAGAGGGGCAGGGTATAAATTTAATAAATAAACAAACAAACAAACAAACAAACATGCGTAATGGAACAATGTGTAGCCTGCATAATTAACTTGTAAACCGCCCAGAGAGTGCTTGAAGCACTATGGGGCAGTATATAAGCAGCACACTTTGCTTTTTGCTTTAACATGAAAAACTGGATCATTCAAAAAGAAATTGATGTGCAACATTTTGTTTGTATCCTACTATTAGGACAAATAAAAGAGAAAGAAAATGACCCTGTTGGGGCTTTCTGTGTGATTTAATTTTTTTAATAACACAAACAGACATACAAGACAAACACAAACATGTATGCAGGGAGATAATTTCCATATATCCATCTAGCATATAAATCTGACTACATAAACCATATTCCCCTACTAAACATATTTAGGCCATATCCATCTAATATATACTTCTTGCTACATAAACCATATTACCCTACTAAGCCTATTTAAACTATTATTAAGCTCAGAGAGTAACTTCCTAACTTTATAAAGATTAACATACATTGTCTAATATATAAACTTAGACCTATATTGATCTTATATTCAGGCCACTCTTAACTGCATAGACCAACTATGATTCATATATTACTTAGTGGTAATTATTGGTAAATGTCAATCCTCAGGCAAGAAGCAGAAGATTGATAGAACAGGGGAAAAGAATATCAAGATTTTACTTAGTAATCCTTCACTTTTATATTTTTAGCTGAATTTTAGCTGATTCCTGAGACTTCTTGTTTTATTTTCAGGTCACGAGTAGACTTGCCTTGTTCTCCTTCACGGCTTGTGTGCTCTTCTCAGCCGGCTCAGATGCTGTCCATTGACACTGGCCAGGTAGACAGGCAAGCAAGTGGCAGGATGGATGTGTCTGCCTCCGTAGAGCACGAAGCCCTCAGCAATGCTTTCCGATCAGTGCCCCTGGCTGAGGAGGAGGACTTTGACAGCAAAGAGTGGGTTATAATTGACAAAGAAACTGAGCTGAAGGACTTCCATCCTGGTGCTGAACCAAGCACATCGGGAACAACAGATGAAGAACCAGAGGAACTGAGACCAATTGAAGAGGGTGAGGAGAGAAGGCGACTGGGGGCAGAAGCAACAGTCAGGCCAAAAATACATGATGGGAGAACACGGGGTATGCAGACTGTGGCTGAGGAGGACAGTTCCCACAGACATGAAGGCCACTGTCAGTCAGTATCTGACAGCAAACATGAACAGCAACCAGGAAGCCCCACACAGTCCCCCTTATATTCAGCACCAGCTATCCGACAGCGGAGACGAGAATCTGAGCCTACTGGTCCTGAGAGACAGGTAAGACTTGACAAAGAAAAAGAATTAATCGATTTTGCTTTAGTTCCCATTTTTCAAGCATGTCCCTGGTTTTATAAAGTCATTGCATCTAGATCCCATCCTCTGCTGATGGTTGAGAATGCAAATTTACTTCACAGCCTTCTGTACCCGATTTCAGAGGTATGTTATCAATATTAGAATTCTGGCTACAGTTATCAGAAATGTTTGATCACCACTACCATCAGTAGTCAGCCTATATGTACCCCTTTCAGTGCAACTGAGTTTCCAACCATAGATGTTTTGCTGACTCTCCAGTTACATGCCTTTAATTGGAAGAACTGAACTGAGACGCTAGAGCTCAGTGGTAGAACTGAATGAAAAAGGAATGATGTTTTTCAGTATTTTTTATTTCATCAGCCACTTTGAGTGACTCCTGTTTTGGAAGATAAAAGCAAGATAGGCATTTCTGAAATACATAAAATACTTTTTTTCTCCAAACGAGTACATAGTGCTTCAGTGTATGAACATAACAGAGTGCTTTAATACTGATTTAGAGTGGGACAGGTCAATGTCTGATTCAAGCGGAGTTGTGGTATAGGCAACTGGTTTAAGCTAGGGGGAGAAATGGGAGAGGTTGTCAAAATTTGACTAAGCCACTACAGTGGGGTCTCGACTTACGAACGGCTCGACATACGAACGTTTCGACTTACAAACTGCTCTCATAGGAATATATGGACTCGACTTACGAACTTAGATTCGAGTTACGCACTCTTTAGTTTCCTTTTTTTTAAAGCTAAGTCATCTTAGGTTAAAAGGAAAAAAGAAAAAAATATCCCCCTCTAGTGGCAGAAGGCGGAATAGCAGCTTCCCATTAGTTTCCATGGACGAAAAGAGCAGATACGGATTAAATGGTTTTCAATGCATTCCTATGGGAAATGCAGATTCGACTTATGAACTTTTCGACCTGAGAACTGCCTTCCAATATGGATTAAGTTTGTAAGTCGAGACCCCACTGTATTTTGGTAGAAACATCTCTTTAGTTTTCTTCTGGTGTTGCAGTTTTACCAAGTATTACCACAATTCAGAATGTTTTGTCTATAAAGTTGTAAAAAGTCAGTGGAACATCCTCATTCTTTGGGGTAGACTAAAGAAAATGTGACATCATTGTAAAATGCTTATTAGGCTTCTTAGTGTTGTACAAATGCTATGTATTTGGGGTGGGCGATCTATGGTTCCATAGAAAGTAACATAATGAACAACTCCCAGTTACCTTTCTGTAAGTTGAAGTTCTGCAAATCATGACAAGTGTCACATATAACTTCTGTATTTCTTTTCTCCCCATTTATACTTCTCTAGTTGTTTTTCTAGTACTTATTTATCCAGTAACTAGGCTGTTTCATGAATCTAGCCACTGATGGGCTCAATTCAATGATCCATCCACCAGCGTTACGTAGATTCATATTTATATTTAAATAATCAGAGAGATATATTTTAAAAACCCGAGAAAAATCTGTAACATTCCGTTAATGTGTTGTAAGGCCAAAAAGAAAAAAAGAAAAAAACAGCTCTTGTAACATAGATAGGAAAAGGAATTGAGGAAGAAGCAAAGGCTTTTATTTTGACAGTGACCCTGAGGAATAGAATGCTACTACTGTATTCTTTTTGATAGAGGTTATGTTTTAGTTAGAAGAATGTTAACTTGCAGTTTTGACTACGTTAAGTATACCTGTGCACATGTACACAATTATACCTGAATTGTGTTCATGCTAGTTCTTATTAAAGAAGTTCCTGACACCTTCAGCATAAAAAAAGAGTTGTTTCTCGTAATCTGATATTAATTCTATAAAATGGAATGAACAATGGAATAATACTAAGTAGGATTGTTCTGAATTCATGAAAACCGTTTTGACCTCATCACACAAATGAACAAAGATTCATCCTCTCTAGAAAATATTGTCTCTCTTAGACAGTTAGGTATTATGTTTTAAGTGGATTTTGTAGTTTCTTTGTGGCAGATAGGCCATTTATCAATTTACTGTGAAAACAGCTATTTCATTTAATAATTAAGTGTACTGTAACAGCTCTGTATAGGTCAAACTATTTTTAAGGTAACACTCAGCCTTTTTTCTGTATGCCTCAATAATTACTTTAACAAAAACTGAATGCCAAATGTGTTCTGTTTTCCCCTTTTACTTTATTCCAAGATTTTTATTAATTTACCACTTAACAATAAATTAAATATATTTCTGCCTTGTAAGAGCTAGAAATTTGCTCTGTACGTCACAAAAATGTTGCTTCTTCAGAATTCATACTAGGGATTCCATGCTGTATGTTTCACTGTGTATATGGTTCTGGTAGATCAGCGTTCTTGCTAATTAGATATGAAATATCCATAAAGGGCTGCAAAATGAAACAAAGAGGCACCAGAAAAATGCAAATGTACCTGCAAATCTTCTGTAAAAACTACCCACACAACTTCATTGTGACACTGTACGACAAGTTCAGGTTTCCCATAAGTAAACTCTTCCCACTGTCTTATTTATTTATTTTATTTAAAATATTTTTTACTCTGCCTTTCTCCTTGAAAAGGACCCAAGGTGGCTTACAACACTGAAATACAATATTTAAGTTGAAAACAATGAGTATAAAGAGGCAGCTTATAGGCCTTTGAGTATATTCCAAGAGAGAGAAAGGCAAATTCCTAGAACCCAGTTGGCTAAGGGGTGTATGATGGTTGACTGGTTTTCCTATGACATTTTTAGGAGTAATTGGTTTTTGGGCAAGTTTGAATCTCTGTTCAGGCTTTTGTAGCTGAAACAGAGGATTGTCATAAAGCTATTGTTTTACAGATATGAATTTTGCTAACAAACGGATGGATTCCATGTTCTCTGCAATGTTGTTCATTAATTCTGCTGCAGACAGCCCAATCATACAGTCATACAGTAAATTCTCAGAATCATTATATAGCTGGCTTGGTATCTGTAAAGCAGATCTCTATAGCCTACCTCCCTTACTATTAATATTTTTGAATTAGTCATAATTATGGCATAAGCAAGCAGGAGACACAAACATAGTATTACAAATATTTGTAAAGCTTTTATTAATTGTAGTTTAAGATTACCAATTCAAAAGGAAGTCCTTCTTGGTGACATTGGTAGATAAACCACTCTGGATCTGCTTTTCTGCACTGGGTGTCAAAACAATGATCTGGGTGTAAAGAAATTTTCTTTAGTTCCATTGCCATTGACAGATCAATACTTGATAAGAGCCTAGATCAGAGATGGCGAACCTATGGCACGCAGAGCCCTCTCTATAGGCAAGTGAGCCATAAGTCGCTGATCGCTACCCCCGGCAGCCAAAGCTGAGGAAGTGGCTTCAGCTGCAGTGCTAGCAGCCCGACAGGTGGTGGGCCACGATCTGGAGCAGCTGGCGCTGGCGGCAGCAGGGCAGCCAAGCTATAGGCAATGGTGGGGTTGAGCACAACTGGAGGCAGATCTGGAGTGGGGTCTGAAGGCACCTCCGTGCCCAGGATTCCCCTTTCTGCTGCCACTTCTGCTTCTGCTGCTGCTCGCCGGGTTGGTCCCCTCCCCAGTTTGAGCACTCGGGCTCAGAAAGGTTTGCCATCACTGGCCTAGATTCACTGGAAATTGGAACTTCAACTGAGGTTGCCCATCTCAGAGGGTTATGGATCTAGATGATTTTCTGACAGCTCTTGGAGGAGTTTCATGATACCCCAGTAGCAGTTCTGCTGAGGCCCCAGTTGCTTTCTGGAGTGGAGAGATGGCCAGGCTGTGATCGCTCATAAGTATCTCCTCCCATAGATGAAAGTTGCACTAACCTCCTGGTTTTCTTGACAGTTGTCTGTGATGACATAAGCAGGATGGCAGCTAGACTGATGGTGGTGGGAAATATGGAACAATTCCAGCCAAACATATGGCAGTGATAGCAGCAAAACATCTTTTTTTGCCACCATTGTGTCTGCATGGAGTCATCCAGCAGAAGAGTATTTGGAGGCCTCCTATGCTATTTCAGTGTCGTTGAGAGTTGAGAACCACCACATATGTGCTAGGATCTTTCTGTTCCTGCTTCATAAAAGGAGCTGAGGTTACTGACCAAGTGGGTAAGGGGAACAGTTAATGCTTCCTTCTATCAAGACAGGTCCTAGCATGCCTAAAGGATGTAATACTAGGATTGCTGCTGAAAAATCTGACCTTGATTCCTACTGTAATGCATTACAACTGGCTAGTCTCCAATATTCCATTAATGATCAAGTTACCAGAATATGTGGAAGAGATTGTCTAGAACCATTTAAATCTGGCATCCAACCTGCTTATGCAATAGAGACAGTGTTGTGCATGACTATACTGGGAACTAGATAAAAGCAGTATGTTCCTGTTAGTTTCATGGACCCCTTGGTAGTTCTTGAGACTACATTTCATGGTATCTTAGTGGCTCTGCTCCTTCCTAAAGGGAAAATCTCAGAAGGTCTTGCTTGAGGTCTGTCAGGTTTCTGTTTTCTCCTCCATTCTAGTTAACATGCACATGAAACCACTGAGAGAGGTCCTCTGGAATTTTGGGGTTTGGCGCCACCAGTATGCTGATGACACTTAACTCTGTTTCTCCTTTCCATTCAAACCCAAGGAGGCCATCTCCGTTCTATACGTATGACTCAGTCATTTAGCAGATCAAGGAACAGGAATTCAAACTTTTCCAGAAGGGATTCTGCTCCCCTTGAAAACTCAGGTTTGCAACTTGGGTGTACTTTTGCATTCAGCCCCAACCCTGATGTCCATATCTCAGCAACAGCCTGAAGTGCATCTGAATAGTTTAAACTAGTCTATGAACTATGCCCGTTCCCTGAGAAGTCTGAATTGGCCATCATGACTCATGCCTTCATTACATCCTACTCGAATTTCTGTAATATGCCCTGTGTGATGTATAGGTCATTTATAGGTGGGCAACTACAGTAGCTATTTAATTTGATTTCACCTATGCATAAAATTTGCCATGTGTGAAATTAA